CACGTACTCTCTCTCTCTCTCTCTCTCTCTCTCTCTCTCTCTCTCTCTCTCTCATTAAAACTTCATTTCTCTCTTCCCCAATCCTCTCTCTCTCATTAAAACTTCATTTCTCTCTTCCCCAATCCAAAAAGGGTCATGCCACCCAAAACTTGATAAGACAAAGGTGGCACATTGAAACTCTAATTAGTGCTTTGCTGGTTTTTTTTTTTTGAGGGCAGTTAACTAACATTAAATAACAAGAGAGTTACAATAATATTGTGAGGTCCACATAGCAAAACACTAATTAGTGTGTTTTGCTGTTTGGAGAATAAAAAGGGTATGCCCAATCATAAGAGGATTCTATGCCTTCAATCCCAGCCCTAATTTGTTCCTAAGGGTTCTTACGAACCCTAGTTAGGTTTCCATGCTCTCTAAAACAATAAGAAAGCCAATGAAAGCTTCCCAACTCTGAAATTTTAGTAAGATCAAAAGGGACAAGAGTGTGCCCTTGGTCAAGAATTGAATGTGGGGTGGATCAAGACCTGTGAAGGTAACTCCAAGCACCTTCTAGTAAGTCTTCCTAGTAGATTTAATTATTTTTTAGTCTTATTTCATATTTTATGTCAATTACTATAAACATATATTATACTCAAAACTATAGTGGAAGATTGTTTATTGCTCTTGGAGGTTTTTTATTTATTTTGGCAGTAAAAGTAAAGATCTTAGGATGTATTAAGGTTTTAAATTTAATTCACAGCAGAGTATAGTGGCCAATATAAGTGAAATTCAGGTATATTGAATAAAAGAAAAAAAAAATTGAATTTAATACCTTGAGTTCCACATAGCCACTCCGTTCAATTTTATATAATGAAGGACCTCACAAATAAAAACCATGGGTCTCAGAGTCAATTATGGCCCCAATTCATTGTGGAGCACATAATAAAGGGCATGATTAGAGATGGTAAAGACAAATACAAATCAGCCCCAAATCAAGCCTCAAGATAACCCCCAATACCCCAAAGATAGCCCCCAAGTTCAGCTCAAAACAATATCGGATGGAGAAGATCAATGTTCAAAAAGGCGGAGGCGGCAGCCTAGGCAGGTACCCAGACACAAAGGTGGCCCTAAGGGAAGGGGTTGAGGTGGGATTCATATGTTGATTTTTGTGTATGTTTTGTGAATGTATGTGTGTATGTGTTTATGAGTTCAGTGTGTGTGTGTGTGTCTTGTGTGTCTAGTGCGTGTGTGTGTGCGCGCACGTATGTGTGTGCATGAGGTCTCGCATAAAATTCTTAAAGATCATCCTCTTTTTTTCTTTTCTTTTCCTTTTGGGTATGTATTTATGAGAGAGACATTTCAAACACTTGGAGAATATTGAGAGAGAGAATCTATGAGAGAGAGGGACCTCGCATCGAACACTTGGAGGTCATCGTCTTCTTTTTCTTCTTCTTACATGTAAAGAGGAAGCATACAGGTACATTTGTATCTTTGTGTGTATGTGTGTGTGAGAGAGAGAGAGAGACGCCGCGCATCGAACCCTTGGAGTCCATCTTTTTCTTCTTCTCATATGTAGAAAGCACATGGACCCGAGAGAGAGAGAAGGGCAATAACGGGCCATATTTTTGTTTGGGTGGATTTGAATTTTCTTTTCTTTTTTTATTTAAGGGATGGCACTAGGTAAGCACCCAGACCGCCTAGGCAGCCGGGCGGCCGAATTTTTTATCACTGGAGAAGATACATAGGAACAATGAATGGACAACTATATACAAGCTATGGATCATTGAAAAGAGGCCACAATTGCAAAGGAACCCTTAGAAATCAGCCTTTGAAAGATCCGGGACCCTTTAACATGGAATTAGAGACCCCGAAACCTGTAACCCAAAGTTCCACATTGATCTGAGGTCATTGGTCCACTTATTGAAAGATCAAGGGGGTAGCATACTGTAGAAAGTAAATTCTCGTAACACACCTAAAATGGGGGTAAAAACTGCATAAACAGCAATTTTTGGTGAACTTTCATGCTCCATCTCTCCATGGCCCTAAGGTGGATTGACCCGGGGCTCGGATATGTCACTATACGCCTTGTAAAGCTTTCCATTAAGGTCCAGAACTAACATAGTATCCCAATAACTAGAGGAGACCGAGAGAGAGAGAGAGAGAGAGAGAGAGAGAGAGAGAGAGAGAGAGAGAGAGAGAGAGA